CTGTTATTATTTAATTTCATATAACTACCTAGGCGAAGTCCCAGGACGATAATCTAAAAATGTGACATCTGTCAACCGTTGACGTGAACAACAAATTAACAGAAACAATGTTAGGTACTGAGCTAGCACCTAGCAATGTCTACCTTTAGTAATTCAAATAATTTAAATTCATAAACGCCGTAAGTGGCACAGATAAAAGATATACCCGTAAAAAGGGTACAGACCGCCTCCATCTTTGAGAAGCTGTGATAAAATTTTGTCGGTCTATTTAAGAATCACCCATATATACAGGCAATTATTTGCCTCCAGAAAATAATAATTAATATAAATTAAAGTAATATAAAAAATGTGATTTATAAGTAATATAAACAATAGTACTAATCAATCTTGGAAAAGTTTATATGCACGTTCGTACTGACTTTTTGATTTTTCCGGCAGCAAACTAGCAGTTTCCGAGGCCCCTGCTTCGGTAATCTCGGGTGGAGTGCAAATTCCATTAAAAACATCATCTTCACTTTCATTTTCATTCGTTTTTCACAAGTCGCAGCTCCGTCGAAATGACAACTGACAGAAAGCACCTCGGTGAAGTTAGCAATAAGTAATATTTTTCTTGCTGGCAAAATTTAAATTACAGTCGACCAAAAATTTTCTGCTCGCGCCAAAACGCGTTTCCCCCAAGATTTTCGTTTCATACAGGCAGATTTACACTCGAAAAATTATTACAATTACAGAAAGCTAACTTCCGCCCGTGACTAATATGACAATTGCTACTAGCAACGCATTAAGTCACGGATTGTCAAGATGTGTATAAAAGATCACTAAGCGTCATGGAAACATACACGATAATCCGTGTTTTAGATGTGGGAGTAGAAAAAATGTATTTTATCGTATCATCATCTATTATGTTCGCTTAATACGTTCGATACGAGACATTATACGTTAGATAATAACTCAAAATATACTAGGTACAAAATCATAGTAAACATTCCATTGATCTTTCAGTTTTTAACACCGAATTTGACACATTGCCTCTCCTATTCACTCGATTATCTTGCAAATAATAATATAACTCGAATATTAGCGATTTAAACCATCTCGGACGATGCGCAGGTGACTCGGCTAGCCTCGTCACCTAGCATCGTCCTCGATTATTATACATGGCTTAATTATTCTCGTTATATTAATAGCTATTATTGTTCGACACAAATTTACGTTTTTTCTCCCGTGTAAGGAAGTTTTGACAACTGTYTGGCATTTCTCAATACGAAACGTCAGATTATTTTCAACAGATTTAAAGCAAGTTTAAGCCTTGTTGAACGCTTTATTTCACCTCGTGGATGATAAATTGATAAACCACTCGGTGAAATAATGCGTCCGATTTACACTCAGACTCGTAGAATAAATAACTATTGTATCCCTATTATTAAAATAAAAGTTTTATTTTGCGTTATTCCTATTCTTTCGATATTACATTTGACGCTACTGATCTAGCGATCTACAATTGTGATAGATAACCTCAAAATATACTAAAGTATTCATCGACTAAGTAAACTAAAAACTTACCGCTTCTAGATGCTGCCACATAAAACTCGATATCAATTGCATTTTGCATGCTACCAACTGCTGCATTGTCCACTGTATTTAAAACTTCTATAATTAATTCAACAAGCACAAATCACCGATGCACATGTAAACAACCCATAAACAACCAAAGCCAACTCATACTTTAATGTTTATCATACAAATTAACCTTGTGTGGGTGAAAACAACTATTTTAATGTCTTTCAAATATAAGAACAATATATTTTAATGTCTTTCAAATATAAGACCAATATACAACGCACTGCAAAGCACTAAAATTGGATGTCAAAATTTTATAATACTAAACAAGATTTACCACTACCCCCTAGCGCTGCTTGTGTTATGTGTTGCCTATATAAACATTTCTATTATTCAATGCAATTCAAAATAATAATTATTCTTTTTACATTGCAATGGATTCAAAGGTCTTTCTAAAATTCAACATAAAAGTGTTTACATAGGTAATGTAGAAAAATTGACTACATATTGCACAACAGTTTAAAAGCAGTTCTGCTACTATACTTACCTATGTATATTACAATTTATTATGCATTGCATTTTATTATATTGCAAGACTATAAGAAAATAACTATTATTTGTACTTATGAACAATAAAATTACTAAAACTTCAAATATTAATTGTATTACCATTTAGTTAAAACACTGAATTGCATAAAATCCTTAATTAAATTCCGCAAAAATCTCAGAAATTGCAATCCTTGCAAATATCTAATGTCCTTGAAATGCAATTATCTCTTGGTGAATTAATAAGCTGTGAAAAATGAAGGACTAAATGTACTGTGCTCCGTTTCATGTTTTTCAAAATGCTGCGAATACGGTTGAAGGTACTTACAAGAAAAATGTAAGAAAGAAAATTGTAGAGAATAAATTTTCTAGTAAAAAGTCCGTGAAACCATACTCTATCTTTAATGCTTTAGCCTTCAAAGACTTTCAATACCGCTCAAGCGACGGATTCGTTTCATTTTCACTGGTGATTTAATGCCAGAGGAACACTTTAAAACAGTTTAAACCTAAACCGTTGAACATAGAATATGGTCCCGTCGACTTTTTTGTAGCAAATTTTATTCTCTACAATTTTGTCTCTTACACTTTTTTTGTATCTTTAATCATATGTATTTGCAGCGTTTTCAAAAATATTGGGCGGAACGCAAAGTGATAATTGTTTATAGTTAATTTATTTTTAATACTATTTTCAATATTTTTGTGGTCGCTGCAAATATGGTTAAAGATACAAGAAAAGTGTAGGGAACAAAGTTGTAAAAAATTAAATTTCCTACAAAAAGTCCGCAAAACCATATCACTCTCTATCTTCAACCGTTTAGGTTTAAATTAATTTTCTGTCTCTTGACAGAAAAATGACACGTGACCTAGACCTAAACCATTAAAGGCAGACTTTTTTCTTGAAAATTTTATTCTCTACAACTTTCTTTTTTATATTTTTCTTGTACCTTTAATCGTATTCGCTGCATTTTTAAAAATTAAAAGACGGGGCGCAAAAATTTTTTAAATATAGTTTTCAATAAAATTTTTGCATCTTATTATTGGGAATTTAATGCTCTATCTGTCTATTTTAGTAATCTAAAAATTCTTACGTTACCTTCTCTATATATATTCAAATGCTTGCAGTTTATAATAAACAATAAAATTCATTACCATAAATTAAACTCATTTCATAATTACGACACCAGAAGCCACGTAATATCGTTCGAAAAAATAAGACTATCTAAATCCCAAAATTTTTATAACTATTACTGTATAAAGTTCTTCAATGTTCTCCCAAAAGATTTTAAATGTCTTCCTCCTAAAGTTCTACTAAATAAATTAAAGACCTATCTAATTAAAAAAAGTTTCTATAGTACTGAGGAATATCTGAACAATAACTTTAGTGATATCTAATTGTAATTTAATTTATTTGTTTCTAACTCATGTTGATAGGATCATAAGAATTATCTTTATTATTTAAGTTTAAGTTTGTATGAATAATTAGTACATGTAGAAAGTATACTAAGTTTGACATGTGCAAAAGTACGTTGTATTTATAGCACGAATAAAGTATTATTATTATTATTATTATATATATATTTTTGCGTTTTGGTCACTGTTATGTAAATAAAGCCACTTTTTTATCATTGCTCTTAAAACTTAAATGGTAAAGGAACAAGTGTGCTATCTGGCCTCACTAAGGGAACTATCGAGAACGTGGACGTTTTGTTTTACATCGTGTCGTATCCTAGTCTTTAGGTATTCGTAGTCACTACTTACCTTTATGGAATTACTAATACAAATTCCAACAAAAACATAAAAAATGAAACCAAGGTATTTTTGTCCGTTAGTGAAATTGTAACCTAAAAACAAACTTTGCACCATGGAATATACTCAAAACATTTCACTGTAATTTACGTTTTCTTACACCCACAGGAATTTACTAGAACCCCTTGTTTCTTTTTTGATTAAACAATCCACAAGAGTATTGCAATATTGATATTGAAATTAGTTGATATTGCTCAACAGTCCACAAATTTACTGAAAATCATTACTGAAATGCCCCCGGAAACAAAGCATGTGGATTTTTCTTTGCCCAAATACAAGTATGTCAGTTATAATAATTTCTCTGATGCATCTAGTGCCATCTTAAAGAAATAAGAATGGTTTCTTTATTTTCAACTATGCGCGCCGTTCTGGGAACACCTCTAATTTCTTATCAGTCTGGTAGGACTTGGCCACTCTTGAATCCTGGCAATGGCCCTGAATATGACCTTATAGCCTGAGTAATTTCTGTCAGAAATGCGTTTGGAAAATATCTCCCTCCCTGGTGGTATACCAACACTCTCCAAAAACGGTTATCATTTCCAAATAATCAGCGGCTAATTACATGATTAAAACTCACTTATTATCTTAAAGCACACAATTGACACCTAACACGAATTTGAACCATTATACACTCGTGTACAGCCTCTTCGGAGAGAAAAATATTCGAAACTAGCGTGTTATGTCAACACAGGTCAGAAAATTAATAAATGTCAAAATTACAGCAAACCAGCTATTTTTTGAAAGTTTTGGGCAAATTGATATTATTTTTGCAACCCAGCAACGGATACATTTTTTTTACATTTTTCTCTGGAACGCAAGTTTGGCGCACCTGTATTTTTTCCGTGAGACTTATTAAAACAATAAAATATAGAAAAAACCTACATTGTTTCTTCAACAAAAAATTGAACATTGATCGGTGTAGGTTTATAATATAATAACTTATCATAAACAATCCGTTTCTAATTTTATCAACTATTCATTCTCTAACACCATTTTTCTAAATTACGTAAAAATAAAGAAACGTGCTTTATCAAAACAAAAACCTATAACACTTTTACCACCGTTGCTTTTTGTGCATAGTAGTATACATTATTTAATAGATCACAGATCATAAATGTGCAATGTGGCTTCAAGAATACTGGAAACTTATTGTTTTATTTTTTTCAAGAACTCCTGAAATTCCTGGTGCATACTAAAAAAAAACATTAACATGTTTTGAAAATAAGTTGTATTTTAGATTCAGAGTATGCATCTATGCCAACAATCTTTCATTATGACGAATACGATAGTTGTCTGTTGTCCAGTAACGATTCTTTATACTGTTCAGTTACATTTCAACTGTACCCCAAGGAGAATAACAAGTCATCTGCACTGTGGAGATTAATCGAGGTAATACCGAAATAAAATACGCATCAATATTGTAAACGGTATTTTATATAAATACAAAAACAATCTTAATTCTAACAAACTTTTAACTTTTTCAATTTTTACATGTACCTATTCAAGACACACTAGTTAATTCTTCTTTCAATAGAAACTAATATAATTTTATTTATTTTATTTATTTATTTATTTATTTATTTATTTATTTATTTTATTAATTTTAATTATCTAAATTTATCAAAAGCAACAAAGACCATTTTATCTGTGAGAATGTATTTTAGGTTGCTTCGGAAAATCGGTTAGAGTCTTTATTA